GAAGATGTTTTGGATGAAAGCCACCATTTGAGATTTGCAATCCATCCCAGTAACAAAATGTATTGAGGTCTAAAACGCTAGTATTGGTGGAAGAGGATGACGAGAGATATAGCTAAATTTGTAGCTAAGTGTGTAGTTTACCAACAAGTGAAGATTGAACATTAGAAATTGGGAGATCACTATTGAGGAGGACCCCGGACTAGATGAGCAGATATATTGGGATGCTAGGGTAGATCACAATGCAGATCCAAAAGTGGATGTTTAGTGTTCTTAATTTTAATGAATTGATATTGCCATGAATGTTCTTTAGTTAGTTGTTGAAGAATATTTACTTTGGTTTGGATTTAACCTTCAGGATTTATTTATATTTTTTTTGAGATTTGTCTAATTAAATATTGAATGATGAATGGTGTAGTTATTTAATGGTATTTTAAAATGTTCTCATAGTTTAATGGTTGATAGATAGTTAATGTCTTTATTGTGAATTTTGGGGTATTACACTTACCCTAATAGGTAGTAACCTTACCTATTTATTGTAAATGCTCCTTCATTGGTAGTACTAAGAGCATCTCCAATGCTTATCCTTTTTAAAATTTAGTTTAAAAAAGAAATCCCTTAAAAACATTNGTACTAAGAGCATCTCCAATGCTTATCCTTTTTAAAATTTAGTTTAAAAAAGAAATCCCTTAAAAACATTCTCCAACACTACACTTATACCCAAATCGAATGAAGGAAGACTAATTTTTTTACTCAAATTAAAGGAGAGTTAAATTCATACTTAAATCTTAATGGTAAAATTTTACTCTCTTTTAATAGTTTATCCTCTTTTAAATTTAAATTTCTTTTCCATTAAATTTAAGTTTCTCTATTGGAAAACTTTATACTAAATCTAACTTTTTATTATTTCTTTTACTCAAATTTGAGTAAAAATTTGAGTTTGCATCGAAGACTCATCACTTTTATTGTACAAATCAGGACAAATTAGATTTGTACTATCTGGCACAGAGAATCTCTTTTCTCACTTTTAAACGAAAACCAGTTTAAGAAATCACCGGTNGAGGAGGACCCCGGACTAGATGAGCAGATATATTGGGATGCTAGGGTAGATCACAATGCAGATCCAAAAGTGGATGTTTAGTGTTCTTAATTTTAATGAATTGATATTGCCATGAATGTTCTTTAGTTAGTTGTTGAAGAATATTTACTTTGGTTTGGATTTAACCTTTAGGATTTATTTATATTTTATTTGAGATTTGTCTAATTAAATATTGAATGATGAATGGTGTAGTTATTTAATGGTATTTTAAAATGTTCTCATAGTTTAATGGTTGATAGATAGTTAATGTCTTTATTGTGAATTTTGGGGTATTACACTTACCCTAATAGGTAGTAACCTTACCTATTTATTGTAAATGCTCCTTCATTGGTAGTACTAAGAGCATCTCCAATGCTTATCCTTTTTAAAATTTAGTTTAAAAAAGAAATCCCTTAAAAACATTTTCCAATACTACACGTATACCCAAATCGAATGAAAGAAGACTAATTTTTTTACTCAAATTAAAGGAGACTTAAATTCATACTTAAATCTTAATGGTAAAATTTTACTCTCTTTTAATAGTTTACCCTCTTTTAAATTTAAATTTCTTTTCCATTAAATTTAAGTTTCTCTATTGGAAAACTCTATACTAAATCTAACTTTTTATTATTTCTTTTACTCAAATTTGAGTAAAGATTTGCATCGAAGACTCATCACTTTTATTGTACAAATCAGGACAAATTAGATTTGTACAATANCAAACTCTTTTACATGCATGACCTATGCTTTGACATTAGGGTTGGAATTTGATAGCCTAGAAAGTGTTTTAAATATTGATTTACCTACTAGGAATGGTTTGATACATTTATTGTGTGTAGGGGTAGTATTCCGCTTCAAAAATGAGCGAAATTCTTTCCACCCATTTTTCACTACGGGTAATTGATTTCTAAAAGGTAAGGGAAGGAGTAGTTTGAACTTTCTAGCCAACATAATGGGGGAGATGAACGAGTTGAATCTCAGTCTAACTACATATTGGTGGTGTCAAATTTTCTGGATGTCTTCCCAAATGAACAGTTTGTATTACTCCCACATAGAAAGATCGAATTTGCTATTGATTTATCTCTGAATACTAAACCCATATCCATTTCTCCTTATTGCAGGACATGTTTGGAGTTAAAAGAGCTAAGGAAGCACTTGGACCAACTGTTGGCTATTAGGTTTATTCATTGAAGCATTTCACCTTGGGGAGCACCAGTCCTCTTTGTGAAGAAGAATGATGAGATGCTCGGGCTATGTATCGATTATAGGAAGTTGAATCAAGTGACTGTAAAGAATAGGTATTCACTACCTTGGATTGATGATTTGTGTGATCAGCTAAGGGGTTCTAGGTACTACTCTAAGATTGATCTTCATACTGAGTACCATTAGCTGAGAATAAAGGAGGAGGATATTCCTTTGACAACTTTTCATACTAACGTTCCTGCAGCTTTTAAGGTGTTTAGAACTTATCTGGATCAATTTTTTTTTTTATTTATCATTTTCATTGATGAAATTTTGGTCTATTTAAGGACACATGAGGAGCATGCACAACACATCCAGTTGGTGCTACAAAAATTATGGGGGCATAAGTTGTATGTAAAGATAAGTAAATGTGAGTTTTTGATGAAGGAGGTTAAGTTCTTTGGATACGTGGTGTCAGAATAGGGAGTAGTGATAGACCAAGCAAAAATTGAGGTAGTAATGAAGTGGGAATGACATCAAAATGTAACAAAAATCTGTAGTTTCTTGCATCTAGCAGGTTACTATAGGAGGTTCATGGAAGGGTTTTCTCAAGTAGATATGCAGATGACCCATCTTACGAAGAAGGGGGAAATGTTCTTGTGGACCTAGGATTATGAACAAGCCTTACCATTTTGAAGTAGAAGTTCACTACCGCAACAGTATTCATTATTTTTTATAGTGATAAGGGCTACTATATTTACACAGATGCTTCGCTATGAGGTTTGGGTTGTATGTTGATGCAGAAGGGGAAGGTGGTTGCTTATGGTTTGAGATAGTTGAAGATCCATGAACAAAATTACCCCTACCCATGATTTGGAGCTTGCAACAGTGGTGTTTGCTATCAAGTTATGGAGGTGTTATTTGTAAGGAGGGAAATTTTAGGCTTATTCCGATCATAAGAGCCATAAGTAAATCTTCACTCAAAAGGATTTAAACCTTTGACAAAGGCGATGGATAGAGTACTTGTAAGATTATAAATTCAAGTTGAATTATCATCTAGGGAAGGCTAACATCGTGGCAGATGCACTGAATAAGAAGTCCCATGGAGGAATGAATTGTATGACTGTAAAAAAGTGGAAGATGGTGGAAGCTTTGGAAGAATTTGATCTTCATGTGGGAAAAATGAGAATCGACCATGTGTGTTCAACCTAGTAGCTCAACCCGTAATACAACAAAGGGTTGTAGAGTTACAACGTTAGATCAACAATTGGAGGCGATTTAGAATCTATTGGATAGAGGGGAGACTGTAGAGGATTGGTCCTTACATAAGGATGAGTTAAGTTTTCAAGGGAGATTGTGTATATCAGATGATAACCAACTGAAAGAAGATGTTTTGGATGAAAGCCACCATTTGAGATTTGCAATCCATCCCAGTAACAAAATGTATTGAGGTCTAAAACGCTAGTATTGGTGGAAGAGGATGACGAGAGATATAGCTAAATTTGTAGCTAAGTGTGTAGTTTACCAACAAGTGAAGATTGAACATTAGAAATTGGGAGATCACTATTGAGGAGGACCCCGGACTAGATGAGCAGATATATTGGGATGCTAGGGTAGATCACAATGCAGATCCAAAAGTGGATGTTTAGTGTTCTTAATTTTAATGAATTGATATTGCCATGAATGTTCTTTAGTTAGTTGTTGAAGAATATTTACTTTGGTTTGGATTTAACCTTTAGGATTTATTTATATTTTATTTGAGATTTGTCTAATTAAATATTGAATGATGAATGGTGTAGTTATTTAATGGTATTTTAAAATGTTCTCATAGTTTAATGGTTGATAGATAGTTAATGTCTTTATTGTGAATTTTGGGGTATTACACTTACCCTAATAGGTAGTAACCTTACCTATTTATTGTAAATGCTCCTTCATTGGTAGTACTAAGAGCATCTCCAATGCTTATCCTTTTTAAAATTTAGTTTAAAAAAGAAATCCCTTAAAAACATTCTCCAATACTACACGTATACCCAAATCGAATGAAGGAAGACTAATTTTTTTACTCAAATTAAAGGAGAGTTAAATTCATACTTAAATCTTAATGGTAAAATTTTACTCTCTTTTAATAGTTTATCCTCTTTTAAATTTAAATTTCTTTTCCATTAAATTTAAGTTTCTCTATTGGAAAACTCTATACTAAATCTAACTTTTTATTATTTCTTTTACTCAAATTTGAGTAAAGATTTGCATCGAAGACTCATCACTTTTATTGTACAAATCAGGACAAATTAGATTTGTACAATACAAATTAGATTTGTACTATCTGGCACAGAGAATCTCTTTTCTCACTTTTAAACGAAAACCAGTTTAAGAAATCACCGGTTAACTGATTGGGAAACTCAAAAAGCACAAGCAATGTTGGTTTTTCGGTACAGTACCCAAAAACTAAAGGTCTGTACCGTAGTCGGGTCCCAATCAATAAGAGAATAACACTTTCTCGATGACCCGTCCCTATTCCTAGCTGCGTGGAGAGGGGGCGGTCATCTATGTACACATCAGTTGTACTTGAGACGAGCAGTAAGATGGAAAAGCTCCCATCTTGAATTGTATGACTTGAGCAGCTGTGCTTACCAGCCTCCCCCTCCCTGTTCCCTCCCCCCAAATGACAAAAAAGCTCGAAAAAAAACAGAACAGAAAATGGAAGGATGACTTACGCCTTGGACCAAATACAAAAAACAATGTCCAAAAGCACAAAGTAGCCATATAGTTTGGTCATGGTGGAAGTTTGGAGATACATCAAGTTAATACCACGTCCCAAAAGACATTAATCGTCAAAATATGTGCAGAAACGGCTATGCACATTGAAAACAGGCTCCTACTACCTTGAAACTATCAGGATTCTGACGCGACCATGTATCAAAATAGTTTCTTCCAGAAATACTATGGAAGATCAGACTGCTATCCCGTGTAACCCACTAATTTAGCAGAAAACAAACAAACTAGACACCCAATGTCGCAAAAACAATCCTTCAGGGGAGAACTAGACAATCATTAGGTAAATGCGAGACAACCTGGGATGCAAGAGAGTTGCGAAGATCTTTCTCCAAATTCAAGCTACTATACTCTGACGACCCAACCTCCTGTAAACAAACTGCTTCCGAGATGTAAATCTTCAACTCTTGAAACCTGTCCTCTGGTAGGGAAACCTTAGAAAGAAGTCTCCAAGCATAATCCTCAGAGGCATCATCATAATCCTTCCTTCTCTTGAGTACCATATGGCCACTGATTTCCCACACAGCAGGGTTCACTTGGGTGTCCAGAAGCTCCTGGCTTACTTCTCCTAGTGCTTGTTGCTCTGCATAGCACTGATATCCAAAAGCAACAAATCCCTTTAGGTCTTAGAGATGAAACTAGAAAATATAATTAAGAGCAAATAACTACACAGTTATAAACCCCTCCCTCCCCCCACCAAGCAATGTAAAACCGACAGGTGTGCAGATTTGCGAGACGTGTGCCTCTGTCTGCATACATCTCTTTGTGTGTATGCATGGGTGCATGTGGTCGTCTTATATGTGGTACTGAGAATATGCCAAGAAGTTCAACCCTGAGGGCTTTTGCAAGAAAAAAAACTCTCAAGACTTAAAAATATGTTTGCCATGGTGAAATTAAGGAAGTTCAGGGTAGTTTTTTGTGAGAAAAATATTAGTTATATAAAGAGTCACTAAGATCAACCCAAAGATCCATGTAACTGATTTCAAACTTAGAACCAAAAATATTCTCAAAGGGTCCAGCTTCATGAAAAAGCCAAATGTCCTTGAGTAATGACAATTAAAGATATTCGGAGAATATTAATAAGATTATAATTAGTTATAAGGAAAAGGAATTATTTTCATGCCAAAATGAAGGGGTATGGAGACTTAACAAAAGGAATGATTATTTCACCAAATCTTATCCAAACAAAGCAGAAATGCATGCCAGAGTGCATGCAAACTGGTGTTCTTACTTAGTCCACAGATTTTATACAGAATAAATCATAAGTGTCCCATGGTGCCTAAATTTAAATGCAAACTCCAAAATTCTACATTCCCATAACACCAGTCCAACTCAAGTGTTCCGACAGCATCCACCAATAAATATTACAATCCAGGCAACCAGTGCGAGAACTATTACCTGAGGGAATAAAAAGATTCTTTTCCCACAATCAGAGATGAGGACATTAAAAGGAATGTTGCGATTTTGAAGGCATATGCAAGAATTAGCAATGGCATCACACAAATCACGCATTGTGTTTCCACCCTCAAAAACAAGACCACGTACAGGATAATTTAGCAGCTGTGAAACCACCACTGCACCATCACGCAGTCCCTTCCCAGTTATTATTCTCTGAGTCGGTGCCTTCTCAACCGGAAATGGCACAGATAGGTAATATGCCTGTTAATCACATACAAGTAGGAAACTAGTTAGTCACAACCAAAAACCATAGAACCGGCTAAAAACATCACAACCTGAGATTACAATTCCACGTTTCAGTCTATTACCTGAAAGTGGAGGTGATTGATGGTGGCAAAAGCACCCAAGCTGTTGTAACCCACCCTGAAGAAGGGATCTGCTGCTTCTTTAGCCAAGTGAAGAGCCAGCAAGCAGCTGCCAGGATCAATCCTCTGAGGCAAGCAATCAAGGACACAGGGAATCAGAAGCACATGCCCATACTCGATTGGGCTCACCTGAAGAATTAAAATTCAGAAATTGCATGAGCCAAAACATATACTACAAATTGCATAAAACCGAGATAAAAGGGATGAATTGCTTACGTTGATCGCAACAACACTTGGTGAAGTTGAATCAACATTGACTGGCACACTAGGATAGAAATGGGACGTGCTAGAATTGCTTGGCTCAAACCTAAAGAGCACTTCTTCCTGTCCAACTTTTGTGAAGTTGAATTTGTTCTCATCAAAGGGTTGAAGAACCTGGTCAACACGAAATTCAGTAGGTCGTTTCTTCAAGTGGCGTCCCTCGTTCAGCTGTGCAATGAAACTGTATGTCCCTGGGATGACCTTTGTCTCACATGTGGTCACGTCATATTGGAACAGCCCCCGACTCATCCGGTCCTCCCACTGTCCCAGTAACAAATGGCTCAAAAAGGACACTGAAGGTTCCTCAATTGAAGAAATCAGGGCAATCTTTTCAGCGGGCTCAAGCTGGTCAACCTCATCGTTGTTGAATGCATAAAGGGGAAGCTTAGAAGCTGAAACCATCAATTAATTCAATCAAACACAGACCCAAAAAAAAAGAATGCAAAACCAGGAGATTAATAGTATAGTTCTCANACTGAAGGTTCCTCAATTGAAGAAATCAGGGCAATCTTTTCAGCGGGCTCAAGCTGCTCAACCTCATCGTTGTTGAATGCATAAAGGGGAAGCTTAGAAGCTGAAACCATCAATTAATTCAATCAAATACAGACCCAAAAAAAAAGAATGCAAAACCAGGAGATTAACAGTATAGTTCTCAANTCAATCAAACACAGACCCAAAAAAAAAGAATGCAAAACCAGGAGATTAATAGTATAGTTCTCAAAAAAAAAAAAAATCCAAGTTTCTCTCCCATCAACAATTTTAGGTTGAGAGGACAATCTTTTTTTATTTTCTAGGGAACTTCTGCAGAAAAGTGTTAAATGTTAAATTATGGAAGAAGGAAATAAATCACTTGGCAGTTATACCAAATACAGCCACTAGACTTGTGAAAGGACAGGATCGGATATTTGAACCATAAAACAATGACAACCCAAAACTAATCCATTAACTTATATTTTCAACTTCCTTTTGCCGGTTTATCCAAGGCAAAATCCACTTTTAACACGAAATCTGTTCAATTGCACGGAAAAGACATAGAAATTACAGGAAAAATCTTTTCTTGGAACTCAGATTATGTTTCAAAGTAATTTAATTCCAAAACACTTCTAATGCACTGGATTTCACAGCAATTAACTTTGTTTCTGCACAGAAATTTTTCTAAGACGGGAAGAAAAAATTTTCCCGCCATAGAAGCAAACAGCTCTAATACACTTTATTGCAATGTATCAATTATAATTATATGAAAAAAAACAGAGGGAAAAAATACGTACCAGGGAAGCAGCACTTGCCAAGGCAATGGCGGCCACAACCGATTAGGGTTTCGGTTTGGTTTTGGGTGTTTTCTGAAGCATCTTCTTGGTAGTTGGAAACGACGGTAGGAACCCTTTTAATAGTCAACATAAATGTTACGTTTGTAATTCAGTATATATATATACGTGTATAGGACTGTTAAATTAGGGGAAATTTTTGGTTTCCCGAAAAAAAAAATAACGAAATTTCAAGAAAAGAAATCAATCAGCAAGAAGAAAAAAGGGGTGGCACGGGGAGAGAAAACAACGTCGCCGCCGCCGCCGGCGAGGAACAGAAGATCGGACGGGCAACCGCCTTCGGAAGGTAGGGCACCCCTGCCGCCGTGTGCGGAAGGGTTCCGGTGCTTTTCCGGCGTCGAATTCAGTGATTTATGAATCGTTGGGTTTGGTTGATGATGATCGGTAAGGTGGATTTTGAAACCGAAATTTCCAAGTAAAGCCGTGATGAAATTTTTGGTGGTTATGAATGAATTCTGTCTCTGTCTATTTGTGGGAGGTGTTTATGGGTGGTGGGTGGAACGTTCCTTCCTCGGAGTCCTCTCCTTCGCTGCTTTCTTCGTTTTTTCAAGTAAATCTGAATTTGGCTGGGTGGGAATAGCCGAATAGGAGAATGGTGGTGACACTGAATATGGAATGGCGGCCAATTTCTTGAATTCCCAAGTTGTCAAGGGTCCAACTACCGTACTACGCGTTAAATTTTGATACTTTTATTGCTTATTTTTAAGATTTTAATTAATACCCTATTAGAAAAAAAAATGATAATTACAAATTGGGCAAATGGTCGTATTACACCTTCGCAATATTTTTTAAAATATTATAATTGTCGTATTACACCTTCAATAAAATAACAAGATAACAGTGTGCTCTATTTTTAAAAATGTTGGGTATATTTTTTGTGAAAATGCATAAAATTATGTATTTTGTTAACTGATGATGTACAAAATAGTCTCATACAAAATTAACAGTCAAATGTGTGATATTATGTAAACAACGAGACAATTAACAGGACAATCAATGACAATAATGTAAATATCGGGATAATGTACAGATATATAGTGGTTCAATCAGGATAACATACTGCACTCTGGGAAATAGCAACGGTGACTAGAGAACCTTTATTAATGAATAAAGTAAAAGAGAGAGAGAGAAAGCTCTATGAGATGAACAATAGCTAAAAGAGAGAAAAACTATCTCAGAGCTGTAGAGATGTGTAAAAATGTGTCTTTTTCATGTACAGAAGGTTTACAATTTTAGTATGCTAGATTGACCAAATTTTGGGACCAAATTAAAGTCTACATGACATGGCAGTTGACTTGGGGCTTATTTGATTTGTGTCATGTCATTTGAGCCCCAATAAAAACTTCAAATAATCAACTGTCATGTCATTTAGGCTCCAAATTTGATCAGTATAGCATTACTCTTACAACTTATAAGCGTGGAGTCTTGATTTGAGGCGATTATATGCGAGTAAAGACACTAGTCCTTTGAAGAGGACATCTACAAAAGGTAAGTATACTTAAAATTGCATAGATCTTCGAAAGTAGGTATCCCGATGATCTCTCTCTCACGTGCTCTTATCTTTCTGACTTTTTGAATGTTGGACTGGATCGAATTGATGAACCGGACTGTGCCTGCCTTTTTAAAGGATCTGAACTTGCTTGATTTATTGGGTCTGACCTAATTAGATATTGGTTCGTCACTAACAATTATATATAGAAATGAGAAAATATAATAAATACAACAAGAACATTTATGAAATAGGCAACAAATATTTGCTCTTGAATTATATTGTTTTCTTTTTATTTGATTGCTTTCAGGGTGTAAAATAAAATTTTGAGATTTTTTTAAGATATAAAGTGTCATTTACTCTTAAAAATAAAGTGAAATACATTAATGTATTCAAGTATGATACTGAAATAATTTTTGATACTATAAATTATGTTTTCTTAATTCTTTTCCCGCTAAAGTCTAAACCCTTATTTTGCAATAAACGTAATTTTCATTCTTTTAATTTTTTTTCTGGAAAGTCATCCTTTCAATTTTTTATGAATGAAAGAGAAAGCAGTTTTATTCGACAAATAGGTAAAATTAGCAGGCTTGGGCCAAAATAATAATAATAACAAAAGAAAATTCTACATATAATTAGTCTTTAAAAAAATTGGGGCCCATTTCCCATGGTGGCCTATGCAATGGCCTACATGATCTTACCATTAAGGCGAATCTCTCAGTTTTCAAAATCTTCATTACGTGACTAGAATTTATAATTTTTTGATGATTTGTTCAAAGTTTTTATAAAATATAAATATTTCATAACATAATAGTTTAAGAATGTAGTTGGTGTTCAATGAGAAATGGAAAATTTGCAATAACATTTACTGTTAAAAATTTTGATAGATCTTTATTAGTTTATGAATTATTTTGAAACACTTTTAAGTAGTTATTTAGAATTATTGAACAATTTTGTAACAAAACTATATGAAAATGTTAATAGATATTTTCTTGTTTACGCTACCTATTAAAGTGTAATTCTAGAATTTGTTAATTTTAACTTTGAAGTGTTCACAATTTAACAAAATCCATATGTACAAATCTTCTTTTTCAACTCTTTATCCTTATATTTTCATTACCGTCTCATGCCTGACTCTTTGGAAAGTATAGAAGTATTGAAATAGTTCAATTTGAGGATACTGGTGAAGAATGGAAAATCCATACCGTCCTACTAAAGAAGTTTGCAAGGAACGGGACGTGTCAAACACTTACCTTTGCAACTAAGTCCAGTGCGAGAATCCTTTAATTGACATTTTGTTTCGTCACAAGCAAGTTTTCTTAGTTCACAAATTAGTTTAAAACACTTTTAAATAGTTATTTTCACAAGTTATTAAGAATTATTGAACCATTTTGTAATAAATTATTTCAAAATATTGACAAGTTTTTTCTAATTTCCACTACCTGTCAATTGTATTTTTGTAGAATTGGCAAATTTTACCTTGCAAGTATTCACAGTGGAACATATTTTGATGTGCACGTATATTCTTTCTTCGGATTTTTATCCTTATACTTTCAATATCGTCTCATGCACGACTCTTTGGAAAGTATAGAAGTATTGAAATAATTAAGTCTATGACTACAACAAGGAATGAGACATCCAAACCGTAATACTACTAAAGTTTGCAATCAAGGGACGTTGCGTTCTTTTAAGTCTTTTCCAATTAAGTCTAGCACGATAACCTTTTAGTTAACTTTGCGATAGGTAGCCAACAAGTGGAGAAAATATTTATTACAATGGTGATATCACGTGACAATAATGTGGTATTAAGGGTGTTCACCTTACCTTATAGATAGAAATTAAGGTATTTCATTTTTCTATCCAATACTCTGCAAACAAATTTTTTTTTTGACCTAATCTATTCGATCAAGTGTACTATTTCTACTCGAATTCTATCCAAAACAATCGGATAGGAAGTCGGGTAAGAATTGAGTGAACACATATTTTTTAGTTATTAATTTTTAGATCATTTTAACAATTTAATTAAGTAATTTGCACCAATTTTAACACACTAAATCAATAACACTAAAAAAAACATAATAAATTTAATAATATATAAACAATTACAAGAAAGCACAACAAGAAAGCCATAAACATCAATACATCATAAGAAAGCCACAAATATCAATAAAACATTATGATTTATAGATTTCTAGATTTAATTTTCACGGATTAATATATATATATAAAATAAAGTATAATACAATTTAAATTTCAAAAGATAAATAAAATGACTTCTACTTTTTGCGATCAAAAACGTTTTAAATTTTATTTTAAAGTTAATCTGACAACTAGTATTAACTTCTCAAAATTAATAGGAAACATAGACTCTCTAAAGATGTATTTGAGATAACTTTTCAAAAGTGTTTCTCATAAGTACTTTACAAAAAAAAAAAAAATAGTGTTTAGAACCACGCTACCACCCCCCCCCCCCACTGTTCCACTATTACCACTACCATTGCCCCACAACCACCACCACCACCACTACCACCACCGTTGCTACCATCCTACCACCACAATCATCACCACCGCCACTACCACAATCACCACCACCATCATCGCAATCGCCATCACCACCACCCATCACCCAACACCACAACCACCATAANTTAAGAATGTAGTTGGTGTTCAATGAGAAATGGAAAATTTGCAATAACATTTACTGCTAAAAATTTTGATAGATCTTTATTAGTTTATGAATTATTTTGAAACGCTTTTAAGTAGTTATTTAGAATTATTGAACAATTTTGTAACAAAACTATATGAAAATGTTAATAGATATTTTCTTGTTTACGCTGCCTATTAAAGTGTAATTCTAGAATTTGTTAATTTTAACTTTGAAGTGTTCACAATTTAACAAAATTGACATGTACAAATCTTCTTTTTCAACTCTTTATCTTTATATTTTCATTACCGTCTCATGTCTGACTCTTTGGAAAGTATAGAAGTATTGAAATAGTTCAATTTGAGGATACTGGTGAAGAATGGAAAATCCATACCGTCCTACTAAAGAAGTTTGCAAGGAAGGGGACGTGTCAAACACTTACCTTTGCAACTAAGTCCAGTGCGAGAATCCTTTAATTGACATTTTGTTTCGTCACAAGCAAGTTTTCTTAGTTCACAAATTAGTTTAAATAGTTATTTTCACAAGTTATTAAGAATTATTGAACCATTTTGTAATAAATTATTTCAAAATATTGACAAGTTTTTTCTAATTTCCGCTACCTGTCAATTGTATTTTTGTAGAATTGGCAAATTTTACCTTCCAAGTATTCACAGTGGAACATATTTTGATGTGCACGTATATTCTTTCTTCGGATTTTTATCCTTATACTTTCAATATCGTCTCATGCACGACTCTTTGGAAAGTATAGAAGTATTGAAATAATTAAGTCTATGACTACAACAAGGAATGAGACATCCAAACCGTAATACTACTAAAGTTTGCAATCAAGGGACGTTGCGTTCTTCTAAGTCTTTTCCAATTAAGTCTAGCACGATAACCTTTTAGTTAACTTTGCGTTAGGTAGCCAACAAGTGGAGAAAATATTTATTA